TAGATCAAGACCAAATTCCTTCACCATTAGAATCAACTCGTCAAGAGCTACAATTTGATGTATAATTATGCAATGTTTCGTTCATTTTCACCGACTTCCGTGTCACCCTCACCAAAAACTTCAGGTGTCTAGAAAACCACTTTCCACATGTTTTTCAAAAAAGCGTAAGCGAGACCTTTAGATTAGTTTTGATGCTCTACACGATGGGGAAAGTGAAGTTTTCGCGGCAAGATGCTCTGTATAAAGTGGGCGGACCTGTGTGGAAGCACCCTTAACTGATTTGGTCAGTCTTTATTTTCTACAATAGCTCGAAGCCCTGTTTATTCTCATTTGTCAACTATACTTGATGGTATTATTATCGTACGAGCGTACGGTGCAACCGAAATTTGCATTAAAGATTTCGAAAGACATTTGGATAATCATACGAAAGCAATTTACCTACTTCGCACAGTTGATAGATGGGGTGCAATACGTTTTGATTGGTTGACAGCTGGTTTTATGACATTTTTCGTTTTTTCAAGCTTAATTATGCATAAAAGTAAGTAAGTATTCTTATTCTTATTATCTTCTTCTATTATACCAACACATTTAAGGTATGCCAAGTGCCAATGTTACTGCTGCACTCGTTCACGCATTGTCATTAATTGGTCTTCTCCAATGGTTCATTCGATTGGGTACAGAAATTTTGTTACAGGTAACACTTTCGCACGCCATAAGTCATATTATACAAATGGTGACTGTCGAATATGTTGTAGATGACTGCTGTTGAACGTGTCAATGAGTATTGCCATTTACCAGTAGAAGAATTAAAAACAAATGAACCACCAAAGCCTCATTGGCCAGAGGAAGGGCAAATTACATTTGAAAATTTGTCGTTTCGTTATTCAGTCAATTCACCATGGATTTTAAACAAAATTGATTTGTTTATTCAACCAGGAGAAAAAGTATTGTCCTTACTTTTTAATTTGTGTACTCTTCATCACCCTCTATAATTTCAGATTGGAATTGTTGGTCGAACGGGAGCTGGGAAGGTGATATACGTTAATAATCGTTTCTGTTATATCATGTCTTCCATTGTTTTAGAGTTCAATTATTCAAGCACTATTTAGAATGGCCGATTTAGAAGGAAAAATTCTAATTGATGGTATAGATACTAAAAGTATTTCGTTGAACAGTCTTCGTAATCGAATATCCATTATTCCGCAGGTGACTATTTTTCCATCAAAACATGATATGTATTAAAAATTAACAAAATAATTTGAAGGATCCCGTTTTATTTGACGATTCAATTCGGAATAATATCGATCCATTCGGTGAATATTCAGAATCTGAAATATGGAATGCTTTGGAAGAAGTAATTTTAAATATCAATCAGTTTTTATTCTGTCTTAGATTTCAAATATTTTTCATGAATTTTTAAGGTACAATTAAAACCTATGATTATTCGTCTTCCCTCTGGCTTATCTCATCAAATTACAGAAGGTGGTACAAACTTTAGTGTGGGACAAAGACAGTTAATATGTTTGGTTCGTGCTTTACTTAGAAGAAATAAAATATTAGTTATTGATGAAGCAACAGCTAACGTGGATATGAAGTAAGTGTTTCTGTGTAACTACTTCTATATATACTGATTATCTAACGAGTTCAAGTTCAAAAGGACACAATGATTTAATTCATGTGCAAAAAGAAAACAATAAGCATATTGTCAGCCTTTATGTAAGAGACAAGATAAAGGTCATCCAAAAAAGGTTTGAACAGCTATGTTGCCATAAAATTTTCTGTTTTGTAAATATTTTAGTCACGTTCAGTTGTATACTAATAGATTTAGTGATCAAAAACATATACAATCAATAAAAATTGAGAATGAGGGATGTAGTATATACTGTTTATGATATTAATTTTACAATATACCAGAGAAAATATGTTGTGATTAATACGATCTTGTTATTTTTTTAAGAACCGATAATTTAATTCAACAATCTATAAGACAAAAATTCAAAAATTGTACGGTTCTTACCATCGCTCATCGTTTACGAACTGTAATTGACAATGATAAAATATTGGTAATTATATATTTTTTGTTATTTATGATTATGTTTGATCGAAATTTTTATTTAAGGTTTTATCTAACGGATGTATTGTTGAATTTGATCATCCTTATCTACTGTTATGTGATACAAATTCATATTTTTATGAAATGATTAGTCAAGGAAATAAAAGTGAAGCACATGGTTTTCTAAAACAGTCCAAGCGTTATTATGAAAAAGGACAACATTTACAAATCGGTGAGCGAGAACAACCATTTGTCTTTGAACCAACTATATAAAATTGGTAATACCACATTTGAAAAATCAATCTAGTGATATTTTTTTTAGACATAATTGATATTGTTCTTTATATTTTTATTTATGTTCTATTTGTTTTTAGAGAATGAAATTGTTAATAAAATATCTGACTTATCTTCACGATTATATACATATACGGAGTTTCCAAAGTCAACCAAAGACATTATCAATTGACTTTGAAAACTCTATATATGTGTATAGATGAACAATATCATCACTATCATTAATCATTTAAAGATAACTACATAATAAGAATAATATGCCTTGAAAAATAACGGCATCATAGAGATTTGAGACTCAGAAGGGAGTCGTATATGCTCTTTTTGGATTTGTTGTAGGCAAACTTGAACAGAATTCGATTTCCAAGCTTGAATCAGAATTTTTATTTTAATTCAAGCAAAATTGAAATCAGATTGAGTAATAAACTCATAATGTTGATGATATACGCTAAAATACTTCGAGTTCGTTTCAACTAGTTTGGCGCTGTCGTCAAACATAGTTATTTCTCTTTAGTACGGGTGAATCTGCCACCTTTAGATTTAGGTGAACCTGCCATACTTTAGATGCGTTCTAGAAAAAATTTGTCTTAATATAATATCCCATACCTGGTTTGACGATTAGACTCATACATGAATCTTAAAATAAGACGGATGGATGCGTCTGACTTTAAGATTGACAAATTTATACCATATGTTTCACAGAAGTTCAGATTGTAAGATAAGCTCATGAGGGTCGATCAGTTGTATCCGTCTAGTTTGATATTAACACTATACAACAGAAAAATGAAAAAAATTCTTCGTGTATAAAAAAGGTTATAAAAAACCACGGTTTTTGTCAGTTTTTCCTCGAACGCAAAGAAACGCTATGTTTAATTTCGCATAAAATTTCGAATAGGCATTTGTCAAGCTCCGTAGTGGTTAGTGATTAGAAAGCCCCGTGCTCTTGCACTACGGCTGACAAAAATCGGAAAAGCGTGTGCATAAAAAGTGTACTTTATTGAACAAAACGAAAACAAAAAAAAGTGTATAATAAATCTGTATATCTAGCACTGTACAAAACTGGACTGAAAAATAAAATCATAAAGGAAAAAACGAACCTGGATAATACATATATGAAAGGAAAGAAGGAAAATCACGCGTCTAATACACCAAGACATAGAAAAATGAGAATTGACGCTTATGATTTGACAAAGGCATAACATTCTCCTCCTCCGAAAAAGAATGTAACATCTATCCGAAAAAAAAATAACGTTAATGTAGAATAAAACAGAAACACAGAAAAATCAATAACAAGAGAGTTGAACGATAAAAGCAAAGAATTAACGAAAAAGAAATAAATTTTTGCTTTTTATTTTTTTATTGTTATAAAAACACAGAAATATGACGAACAATTAGAATACAAATAGCAAAACCAAATAGACAAAAAGAACGAGTGAAACAATAATAATAATAGAGGGAGAGAAAAAAATAAAATACATGAATTTGGACTTCATATGGAGAAAATTCCCATGTTTATCAAACCGCCAACTAACCCCAATTAACCTTCCGCTTTAGTGTGTGCTTTACCATCCGGTTAATTGCGATTAACCGCCAAACCGGCAAAACTCTGCGGTTAACCACTGAATTATCCGATTATTTCTGGTTAACTGCAATTAATTCACGGTTTGTTTTTTGCTGAGCAAACTGTATCGGTTCAAGTCCAGGACTGCGCTACTTATTTATTTTCTCTTTTCAGCAAAATGCACCACGCACAGTCACTTATTTTCAATTTTTCTTTTGTTACTTCTATGAAAAAAACTTCCAGAAAAACTCCATGGAATAACTAAAGTGTCAAAGCAGTTGTTGTTGTCAGATTTCTTCGCTGTTGTGTTGGTGTGATATTGTTTGCAGCTGCTATCGTTTGCCGACTAATTTTTCCTTTTATATTACGACGTTTTTGTAAACATACTTCTCTCAATGCTGGCCATTGTTCATTCATTGTATTTCTGTCTATTTCAAACCCGGATCGAACACTTTCTGGAAGAGCAAAACAATATAAGATCAGTTTTCTTTTAGATCTTTGGAAAATCAGCTGGAATTTCTAGAAACCGATATAGCAATCTATTGTTCTTTATTCGTAGATGGATAGTCAAAAATAGCCTCTACAAAATAAGATGTAAGCACAAGTTTGGGTTTGCTTGGTCCGGACACTACGGACCTTTCCCCCGAAGCCTTAAGACTTCTCTGTCGTTAGATTTAGATTGTCAGAAATGCATGAAAACATAGGCTGTCGACTATGCTGAATCTCCTGGCAATATTTGTTTTTCAAGAAAGTTCCAAAAACCTATTATTAGGTGAAGTATCCTATATTTTCCTATTTTTGAGTAAAATCAAGAAATTCATAACCTAATCGAGATTCATCGAAATTATATCAGAATATCAATATTTTACCTCCCCAAATAATTTTTTACTTGAGAATCGTAAACCCCATTCCTGTACTTCGGAAGATTCTTAGAAAACCTTTTCAAAAACCAAATTATTTTCTGTCGATTCCTAAAGCTTTTATTGAACTGCATAGTATTGAGTAAATAGAGTACATCTCGATATTCCGATATAATTATTTCTCGAAAACAATAAATGACAGAGACATGCGCTTTTCAGCAATGGAAAGACGGTAGTTTAAGCTATGTTTTCGCAAGCAAAATCGTCAAAAAAAGAACTTTTTTGGGAGGTCTCAACTCTGACATGAAAGGAAGGAAGGGAGTTTAACTTATCGATCTAAGATATTACGCATTGTGAATTATTATAACGGTGAGTTTTACTCAATACCCAGTTAAAATTTTTAAAGAAAATGATCGAAAATGATATTTTTCTATTTTAGGACACAGTGTATAATACATCAGGACACATCACTTCGTGTCATTCAAAGTCAGTGATATATCATGGTATATCTTTTTCGGGAAAACTGAACGTATTTTTTGATGCGAAGTTCGAATAAGGTTAGTAGTATACGTCTATACTTTTTAGGAAGTTTTTGGAAGAAAATACAAAACGTGTTGTTTCTCCAATATAAGAAATGTTTTCTCTGCCGCTGTTTCTAGAAATTTGTCATGGTCCCATAAAACATTTTTAGAATTTCGATCCCTAACCATGTATCTTTTCCTCTTCTATCATTTAGAATATGCTATCAATACAAAAAGTTACCTCAAAACTTGTCAAGACACCAAGAACAAGAGCAATCAAAAGCAAACAACTACGAAAATTTATCATTACAAACCTCCCCAAGTTAAGTAAGAAATCAACAACTTATCATTACATTCAGTTCCCGAACCGTGAGTTTCCAAGATGTTGCAACATATACATATATAGTGTCAAGTGTATATGTGTCTGTTACCTTCTCTCCGATAAAGGACGTCCCAATAAATGTACAAAGTGGCATGGTTGACGGATGACACCAGAATCCAGCTGAAACGTGATGATTGATAGAAGACGTCACAACCAACTTGTATTCTGTACTACAATGATATATCTCTTCTGTAAAAGTTAAAAATGACGGTTGACAACCAAACAATGTAGCTCGAATTCAGATTATTATTATATTTTCAGATAAAAGTACTAATTTTTGCAGGTGTGAATGCTATAATGAACGTTATTACGCTCAGTTGTATTTATGCCTGTCTATTCGATTGATAACATTAGAAAATTATCAGTTTTTGATCCGCTACAGCTAGAAAGCTAGAACTGTCAGGATCGAAAGGGAATCGAATAAACATGCCGACAGCGGAGAGATTTGAATTCTATATCAACTCCCTGAATATGTCACCACAATCAACGCGATTTACCTTTGTCCAAATTCAAGAGCAAAATGTATGACTCATCGCTTAAATTTGGAGAAAGGTAATTCGCGGCGATTGTGGTGACATATTCAGGGAGTTGATATAGAATTCAAATCTCTCCGCTGTCGGCATGTTTATTCGGTTCCCTTTCGATCCTGACAGTTCTAGCTTTCTAGTTCTAGCGGATCAAAAGCTGACAATTTTCTAATGATAAAGTTTATACAAAAAACAAAAAAAAGTGCTAATAATTTATTGTCACGAGACACAAGAGAAATTTTAAAACAAAAAAAACACATACACACATGATGATAAATTCTGCTGTTCTAATATGTCAATATTCCTCCATTTTATTCAAGAAATTTTTTAACTGTGTGATAGTTGAAATAGGAAAGATCAAATTTTTCTCACCCAGAATCTGTCAGTTTTGATAAAATGCATAATATCAGTATTACAGTACCATCTCATGCATTCGCATAATCTCCATAATTACGCATCCTATCTCGCTTTTTTCATTGAATCCTTTGTGGTTATTTTTTCTAGCACAAACTATTAATATTTAATTTCAAGAGACTGGAGTCGGTGCCAGCCATTGGCAAAATGACTTAAATACAGATTTCAGTAAACGTTTTAAAATTAATGTATTTGTTTGGTTTTGTGATGCTTGTGCAACCTGATCCAATCAAAATTGAAATTGTAGACCAAAATGTTTTACCATTACTGATAAAATGTAGGACACGGTTTGGTGATTTATATTTATTGTTATCGATGACGTTTAATCCAAGGGCAGCTGAAATATTAAAAAACGATGCGTTGTTGATGACAGAGATTCAGTCGTATTCAGACTATTTAGAAAACCCCTCAGTGAAAAAGACTGCCGATAGTATTGTTCGGAAACTTGAAAAAGAAGCGGTATCTCTTAAAAGTGCCGAAGTTGTTGAATGAAAGTCGAAACGTGTAGCGCCGCCCGTTGAACAAATACCAAGAAGCGAAAAGACAAGAAATGAACCTCAACAATCAGATAAAATGCCTAATAACAATTATCCCTCTGACATAATGATCAGTTATTGTTTTGCTGATAAAGAAATCTATTATCATATTCGTGATCAATTAATTGCACACGGGTTTCGTGTCTTTATCGCTACAGGTATTGGAGCGTCGTCTATTATTGATTTTCTGGCAAAGGCTATTGAAGAAGCGAAAATTATTCTGATTTGTATGTCTCATCTCTATGCCCAAAGTGCATATTGCGAAGCTACATACGCTTTCCAGTTGCACAGGCGCATAATTCCTTTGCGTATAGAAGGAAATTATCGTCCTGATGGATGGTTGGGATTCGTAACTAGTGCCTTCGCCTCCATAT